GGGCCTGTCGCCGGCTGTGGACGGGGCTGAGCCGGTCTCGGAGCTGTTTGCGCGGAGATAATGCCTTAATTCACGAGGCACTTTATTTCTGATCTTAATTAGATCTTGGATTTTTTTAAACTATATTGGCAGGCCTAGTAGAAGATATTACCACTTCCCACACATCTTTCCTCATTTTTCCTCTGAGACCATTATAGCTACTTTCTCGGCTGCAATATAAATTGTTGAGTATTACTGGATTAGCAGGAAAAGCGGGTTAGTTTTTTTTATAAACAGCAAAAAGGTCAGCTTTTGTTTTTGAAGTTGCTGGTTAGAGTAGAACTCCCTTCGGAGTTTGCTTATGTGCTTTCTTAGAAGCTATTCCAGAGAAATGTCGGGGGGGTTTTGGCAGTTGCTTAACAAAGCTGGATATGGTGGGTGAACAATGAACTACTTTGGCAGGAAACACAGAAAGGTTAAAAAAATAGTTCTGGAAACTCATCTTCTAGTTTGTCCTCTTGTGCTGCAGCAATGTCAGCTCGCCATTCACCATTGTGCATAGGGGCATTGAATCCTGTGTGCTACATCCAGCTTGCCCTCTGTAAGCTAACAAGGCTTTTCACTTTTATACCTCAAAACCTTTATATCGGTTGTGTTTTCCTCCTGGAAGAAATGTTAAAGCAGCCTTGTCTGCTATTGAAGATTTGCTCTCAGGAAACCGGTAATGAGATATGAAGGTACGTCTTCCTAGATCACAGATTCAAATTGCATTCGGCTCAGGAGATATGTGGCCTCATGATTTGATTGCTTATTCATAATGACTGGCGTATAGGAATGGAGAGGGGAGAGAACAGGTGTTTCCATCTTCTGCAGCAGTTGATTTCAATCTCGCTGTTGTGCAGGCGTATACCTTAATAGAGAGGTTAACCACTGGTATTTTGGTCGCTTCAGTTTACTCTGGTGTGATCTTTCTAGAGCTGTTGTGACCTGCCTGGTCTCTCCTATGAAACCAGAGAGCTTCAGAGGCTGGGGCTGCTGGACTACTGCTTCAGGCTAAACTCATTTATATATTTGTGCTTGAGATTTTTTTAGGAGTCTGCACGAACATTTTTGCAGGTGGGAAACCCGAGCTTGAGAAATTGAAACACCGTGGCTGTAATCATCCCGTACCAGGCTTGAACTATGCTTGTAGGCTACAATATCTCCAAAATCCCTACCCCAAAACCAACTTAAATGGAAACAAGAGTCAAAAGAGTGGGCAGCTGTTACATTTATAGCCCGTACGTGTCTGCAAGCACTGCAGTCATCTCTGTTCACCATGCCAGAGTGTGTCATGTGAAAACTACAGCACCCAACCTGTAACACTTCAGAAAATCTCTGGGTAGTTTGAGGCCAGTATTGCCTATAAGTGTCATCTTTCTGTACAAGCTGACAGAGGTGGCAGTCTCTGTACCCTTCTGATTTAGACATGACCCACATGCTCTTGTCAGGCTGTCCGCGCTATCAGAAGGACTGTAAAGCTCACCATGTCCAACAGTGAAATAGTACCATTTGTAGGAACGTGGTGTGTAGATGGGAAGCTAGCTATGCAGGGAACTGGCCTTTCTTCCTAAGGGTTTGCAGCTCTTGAAAACCAGTATAGCCTCAGCAAATCAGGTTGGTCTGTTGCCTTTCAGGTGGAGAGAATGAAGCTAGATTAAAAACTAATATAAGTTCAGACATGAAAAAGTGTTTTCCTTGGCTTGCCTAGCAGAAATCGAGTGAAATGCCAAAGTAGACATTTGAAATCTAAGAAGATGCTGCCTGGGCTGTGGGCTCAGATCTGGTTTTCAAATGTGCAGTACTCCTACCATGCTTATTCACATAATTGTTACTCATAAAAGGCAATTCTAGCTATCCTGATTGTTGTTTTAGGATAAAAACTGTGTTCAGGTTGGTTTGTTCGGTTTCAACTCCCCCATTCTGGAAAGCTGTGCTGTGAAGACTGACATATCAATATACCAAGCATATTAAATGACAGCTGTTTGGTTTTTTCCTGTTGCCTAGATAAGTCTGTAGTATTGTAGGGAACTGTTTATTGCCATAAAATGACTTCATTTGTGACCCACCAGAGTAGCAGCCTGACATGTGAAGCTTTTTACTTCATTCTAATTACTCATTACATTTTATGATGTGCCTGGAAAAACAGTTTACCAGTGTTCATTATTAAAAACAATTTGTAAGGATTTGAGATCCTGGTGCCAACACCAGAAAAAAATAAACTCACATATGAAATTATCAGTTGCTTTAAATGTATGGGTTTTTTCTGCCTTGAGAAAAGGTGGCCACAGCTGTATGAAATATGTCAGCTGACTAGCTCTTCATCACATGAAAAAGTTCTGGTTCCAGTAATCTCTTTAGTGATCCTCAGTTTAATTCCTCACAAGTCAAATGTGTGTAATCTGGGAAAACGTCCTTCTCCTGCTTGCTTTTTTCAGAAATTTAGTAACCCACTTTGTTGTTTGGCAAGGTGCTGTGAAATCTAGGAAGCTGGAATTACTTCTTTACCATTTAGAGATTTTAAAACTGGCTTCTTATTTATAGTGTTAGTTTTAGGACTAAGAAAACCTTGCCAGAAGACTGGATTTGCTACCTAGGAAAAAAGAATGAAAGCGGGTCATTCCTGGAACAGCAAAAGCGGTGAAACTCGGCTTGGTTGGGGTATAGATGTAGGCCTGAGGTTTACT